TTCTTTTCGAATTCTTTTTTGAAAACCGCGCACAGATAGCTCAATGTAAACTTTAATCTACTAAATGCGTCTTTGTTTGTTTGCTCGTCTTTTTTTTTCTTTATTTTATAATAGTGTACCCTTCATGCCACGAAAGTAGACTTTAATATTGTTTCCTGCTTTTATGTCTCTCAGAATTCTATTTCCTCGTCTTTTTTTTCTTCTCTTCTTTTATTTTATCAATTTAGACATCGATTTTATTTCTCACGGGCAAAATGACTGTAGACAGACTAGACAGGTTAATTAAGAAAATTAATTAGAAACCTTCTTTAAATCTGAGCTGCAATTAAATTTTCAAGACTTACAATTCTTATTAAAAAAGATGATGACATTACAAACAATAATAACAATATTTATGTTAATAATGATAATAATAATAATAATAATAATAATAATAATTTATTATTTAATTAATTATTTCTTATTTAATTATTATCCATTACTAGCAACAATTCGCGCGCTACTAACTTTTCAGGAAAAAATTAGCAATTTTAAAAATAATAGAATTTAAAAATTTGTAATTCAAATTTTTATTGAAAACATTTAAAAAATCCAATTTTGGAAAAATGACAAATAATTGCAGAAATTCAATTATTTTCAAGAGAGATAAAATTCTTTTCATAAAATTCAATTATCTTTCAAATTTTAAAAAAATTCTCGTCCAAATTCCAAGGAACTTTATAAATAACAAAATTCTTCACAAAAGTTCAATTATTTTCAAATCAATTTCAAATTCCTAAAAATAGTACGAAAACATTTAATTATTTTCATAAAATAATAAAAATTTCTCAGGAATTCAATTATTTACAAATTTGTTATAAATTCCTTCGCAATAATTCAATTATTTTCATAAAAAATAATTAAAAATTGTAGAAAATAATAATTGATTTTAATTTCTCAGGAATTCAATTATTTGCAAATTTTTTATAAATTCCTTCGCAATGATTCAATTATTTTTATAAATAATAAATTTTTTTTAAGGAATTCAATTATTTTCATAAAAAATAATTAAAAATTGTAGAAAATAATAATTGATTTTAATTTCTCAGGAATTCAATTATTTGCAAATCTTTTATAAATTCCTTCGCAATGATTCAATTATTTTTATAAATAATAAATTTTTTTTAAGGAATTCAATTATTTTCATAAATAGTATATTTCGTAACGAGTGCGAGCAGTTGGCAATTTTTGAATGAGCACTTCGCCTACAGTTTGTTCCAAAAAAAGTGCTCATTCAAAAATTGCCAACTGCTAGCACTAGTTACGAACGATATTTTTCATAACAAGGTGCAAAAAAGTGCCCTTTTTTGCACCGCGTTATGAAAAAATAATTAAAAATTGTAGAAAATAATAATTGATTAGAAATTATGAAAATAATTTTGAGAAAGTTACTGTAATAATATTCTTATAATGTAAAACAATGATTTTATCACTCGGGCATTTTTAATTATTATAAAACATGAAGAAATCATTACAAAGATTTGAATTTGAAATTTTTGAAATTCTTCATTCCTATATGGAAAAATAATATTGATTAAATATTTAATTAAAAAAAAAAGTTATTGATGTTTTCGAATATTTTTTGCAATTAAAGAAATTTGTAAATAAACGTAACAGAACATTTTTTTGAGTAAAATTTTTTCCTTTATTATATTTTCTAAAAATTTAAAAAGTTTCAATTTCATTTTCAATTAAAATTTGTAATTGACAAATAGAATAGAAATTATTATTAAAATTATTAAAATTTATTATTAATTATAATTAATTATAATAATTAATTATAATTAATTATAATAATTAATTATAATTAATTATTTATTATTATTAAAATTATATTATTGAGAAATATAAAATTATGTATAAAATGGGTACATTTCCTTTTTTTTTAATTACAATTTTTTAACAATTAATAATTTTCTCATATCTTTTATAAATAAAAAGGAGAAAAATTTGCATAATTTAGATCAGTCGAACGAAATTTGTTATAGAAAAAAGCATATAATAAACAAAATTTATTTGTTAATCATAATTTTTTTTTATATTTTCTAATTGCAAATATTGTTTTATTATAAATCATGATAAAATACCTGCATTTTTTCGATCTGTCAAAAAAAAAATCAAAAAAAAAAATAAATAAATAAAAGCATACACAAAAAAAAAGTATTATTACATAATAATAATTAATAACAAATAAAAAGTAAAATAATTGTGATTATTTACTTGTCTTGTTATTGTTTGAATTGAATTAAATAAATTTAACGTTAAAAAAATTCTAATTTTCTAATTCTAATTATTTATTATAAATTATCTATTTATTTAATAAAGACAACAAATGGCAAGAAAAAACAAATAGCAAAATGAAATATATAATTATAAACAATATACACAGAAAAAAATTTTTTTTAATTCAAAGAAATCAGTTTCTTCGATTCGTTTTGTTTTATTCAAAATAAATTTTTCTTTCAAATAAAAAAGAGTTTTTTTTATTCAAAGAAAATTTTTTTTGATTTAAACAAATTTTCTTTGACTCTAAGAAATTTGTTCTGCAAATCAAAGAAATTTTGTCAATGATATACAGGTTCAAATAAATAAATAATTTCTTTGAAACAAATAAATTGTTTTTGAATCAAAGAAATTTTTTTTTTGAATCAAGTATATTTTCTTTGAATCAAAGAACAAATTTCAGTCGAAGAAAAAAAGTTTTCTAAATCAACAGTAACTTTTTTCTGGGGGTGTAGGTAATAATTGAGGCGTTCAGTCAAATAACTCGATCTTCGCTCGGCTGAAATTTGTGAAGCCAGTCAATGGCATGAAACATAGGGGGAAAAAAAAATTCAAAATTTCGATATTTGAAAAACGCTATCTTAAAGAAAATCAAAAAGCACAACTTTTTTCTTATTGTCATTTTTTTATAGAACGATTATTTTTTACAAAAAAAAATAAAAAGTGAAAAATTTTTATTCTAAAATTTAATGAAATTTTAAAACATAAATCGCATTATCTACTACAAATATAAATGAATTTGATTGCAATTTGGTATGTATACTCATTAGGGTCTCCTGAAACTGAAAAAGTCTTAAAATTTTGAAAAATTATTCATTGTTTATATTTTTTTTATTATAAATGATGACGTGTCAACAATGAAGCTTTGTAACTTTCAACGAGAAAAAGTATGCGGGGAAGTTTTGAGTTCAGCAAAGTTGCAGTGAGAAAGTTGTTCCTAAATATTTAAGGAAGTTTTTTGGAAAATTTCAAATAAATTAGTTAACAAACAAAAAAGTTATGTAATTTTTAAAGAATGCGCGCGCTGCGCGTTGACTTCAACTTAACCTATAGAGACGTGAAATATGTCTATTTTCACAATTTTACCACTCACATATTAAGCAGTTCATTTATTTCCATGCTTTATTATTTGAATAATAATAATTTTATTTGTTTACAAAAATTAGCACATTAAAAAATTTGACAATTTTTTTTTGTTCAACTAAATATATTTATACTTTTCAGCAATTTTTATTTTTACAATTATTTCACACAATATTTAATATACTGAGAAAATTTGTACTTTTTTTAAATATATACATTATTTTTCTACGTAATATTTTCCTATTAAATAGATTAGTAATAGACTAGTTATAATTAAAAGTTTATTGTATGGAAATTTCTTAATAGCTTTGTTTATAAATAATCACAATAGCAAGAAATGTAAATAATCACTTCTACATTTTCATTGAAATTATTATTAGAAATTATAAATAGTATATTTTGAAAGAGTACAAATTTTCTCAGTATATTAAATAATATAAAAAATAATAATAAATAATAATAATAATAATAAAAATAAATAAGTGTAAAAATAAAAATTGCTGAAAAGTATAAATATATTTAGTTGAACAAAAAAAAATTGTCAAATTTTTTAATGTGCTAATTTTTGTAAACAAATAAAATTATTATTATTCAAATAATAAAGCATGGAAATAAATGAACTGCATAATATGTGAGTGGTAAAATTGTGAAAATAGACATATTTCACGTCTCTATAGGTTAAGTTGAAGTCAACGCGCAGCGCGCGCATTCTTTAAAAATTACATAACTTTTTTGTTTGTTAACTAATTTATTTGAAATTTTCCAAAAAACTTCCTTAAATATTGAGGAACAACTTTCTCACTGCAACTTTGCTGAACTCAAAACTTCCCCGCATACTTTTTCTCGTTGAAAGTTACAAAGCTTCATTGTTGACACGTCATCATTTATAATAAAAAAAAATATAAACAATGAATAATTTTTCAAAATTTTAAGACTTTTTCAGTTTCAGGAGACCCTAATGAGTATACATACCAAATTGCAATCAAATTCATTTATATTTGTAGTAGATAATGCGATTTATGTTTTAAAATTTCATTAAATTTCAGAATAAAAATTTTTCACTTTTTATTTTTTTTTTGTAAAAAATAATCGTTCTATAAAAAAATGACAATAAGAAAAAAGTTGTGCTTTTTGATTTTCTTTAAGATAGCGTTTTTCAAATATCGAAATTTTGAAATTTTTTTTCCCCCTATGTTTCATGCCATTGACTGGCTTCACAAATTTCAGCCGAGCGAAGATCGAGTTATTTGACTGAACGCCTCAATTGTAATTTATAATTATGAATTATAGTTTTAATTAGAATTGTAAACAATATATTTTTATTTTTCGTATTTTTTATTTTTTATTGTTATTTTTATTTTTTATTATGTACTTCATTATTTATTTAAAAAAATTTTTTTTTATTTCATTATTAAGTTAAATTTTTGATTTATTATTTACTATTTTCTCTCAATGGTAAAAAGTAAAAAAGTAAAAAAAGAATAAGAAAGTAAAAAGTAAATCACACTATTAAAAAATAAAAATTATAAATTTAACGAATAAAAGGGGAAAAGGGAAACATGTTGTTTACCATGGGTTTAAAGTAATATAATTACCTTGAAAATTAATTTACACCCAGAGGAATGTCGTGGGAGATCAAATAAGACGTCAGAAAATTCCCCCGATGAACACCAGACTAAATTCGATTACACTATATATATATATATATATATATAGAAAAGTTTTAGTCACACTTACGATACATCTTACGTGTGACAATAAACTCAATCATTTTTTTTTTGTCTTTTTAAATTAATGTGGAGAAAATCGGTTTTCTTATTATTTATATTTAAAAGTGTGGAATAGATTTTCCATGACTACGATATTCCAATATCTTTTATCCATTGAGAAACACCTGTGGAGTTCACATTTTCATATGTATATACATATATGCACGTATATATTATAAAATTTATTTTATTAAAAATTCAATTTTTATTATATCGTTTAACATTCCTTTTATGGACATTTTTACGAGAGTTTTAAATTATTTCTAGTACCATTGTTATTATTGAGTGATATTAAAAGTGAGGAGGAATTAATTTTTTCAAAATGATCTTTTTTTTATTGAAATTTGTAAAGAAATGAATTTTAATTCTATTATTTTTTTTATTCAATATAGAAAAATTAAATTTATTTTATTTAACAATTTTTTATCCAATACAAAATAATATTTATTTTTGTTTTAATTGATTGATTGATTTATTTATTTAGCTACTGAATGGAAAGTTTCGAAATTGTTTATTTTATTGAAGACGAACATTTATATTTCGTTTCGTATTAATTTTATACGATTAAATTAAAGAATTTTTATATTTTGAAATTAAATAATTTTTTGATATTTTAAAAACTAAACCATTTTTATATTTTTAAATTAATTAATTAGGTACAAATTAATTTTTTTAATTTTGAAATTGAACAAATTGTATTTTAAAAAGAAATTTTCTTAATAATTTTACTTCTAATTCGTATTTTTATTTTAGTTTTCGTTTCTACTTTGTTAAACAATTTTCTTTTGACATTTGACAATGGAAAAAAAAATTTCAAAAAGTTCCAAAGTTTTGAAACATTTTCTAGTTTTGATATTTTGTTTACTATTTTACTGTTTTAATATTTTACTTTTACTATTTCACTACTTTTTCTTTGAATTTTCATACGACACTGAGAAAAAAATGACTCGAAATAAACTAAAATCATTTTTAGAAGGAAACATCTTTTTATATGCGAATAGTTTTTGATTTGCATTTTCCGGTCTTTTTATCATCGCATCATATCCCTTGTATAATTTTTTTTCTATTTTTTTTTTGTTTTGTTTTGATATCATTATCTTTTAATTGCGGTTTGATAATAATATGCAATTGATGATTTGACAAGGCAAACTACTACGACTTTTTTTTATAACAATAAATTATCAATTACGAGTTTTATTTTATTATGAAAGTAAATTTTTATTTCAAAAAATTGAATTTTACATTCCTACGATTTTTTCTAAAATTCATAATTTTTTCTTTTTCAAATTTCCATGTATTCAATGTATTATTTTTTTAAATCTCGGTGTCAAGTGTAAAATTAACTTCTTATTAGGAATACATTTTTTATTCAATTAATAATTTTTAATCTTTTATTCAGAAAATAAAATTTTACATTTCTGTAATTTAAAAAAAAAAAATTTAAGTCCTTTTTCTATTTTAAAAAATATCAATTATTTTCCTATGAAAAATTTCAATGTCAAGTGTAAAATTAACTTTTTATTCTCAATAAACTTTTTTTTACTGAATTAATCATAATTTTTACTTAAACTTTTATTAGTGAATTAAATTTTTCATTTCCGGAATTTTTTTCTTTTTTGTAAATTTCATCGTCAATTCTTAAATTTTCAATGTCAAGTGTAAAATTAACTCCTTAATAAACTTTTTATTCACACAAGTCCATTTTATTTGTGAACTTTGGGATTTAACATTTCCCAGTGTAAATAAACTTACACGCTAAAAATAAAGGCGAGAAAATCATATTTCAAAATTGGCTCATTTTCGAATTTGAAAAAAATCCCACAAATCTCCCCCCGAAAAAAATATATTAACTACAAACAATTTACAAAATTATTGTACTATTTACGTATTTAATTAAAAATTTATAAAAAAAATCCCCCCTTGAATACCAAAAATTTTTTTCGTAAAAGAAATAAAATCGATAGTAAATTATTTTTTTTTGAGAAAGTTTTTTAAAAAATTTAGAAGAAAATAAAAAAAATTTAATAATTTCTTTTTTTTTTGGAAAAAATGAATTTTTAATAATAGAGAAAAACGTTATTTTGCCATAAACCACGCGGATAGGGGAACGCGCGATTTACTACTGAAATATCAAAGTCAAGGAGTGTAATGTTAAAGCATGAGGCACAAAATGCGCGCGCTGGTTGTTACTGTTAGCTTCCGGTTTCACATGATGCGCAAGCTTCACGTACAGAGCTTGCAATCTCAAAAGAAAAAATATATATATATATTTTTTTCTTTTGAAAAATTACTAAAAATTAATTATTATCGCTGTGTTTTTTAGTTTTATTTCCAAATTTTAATAAAAATATCAAATATCCAAAATTTTAATTTTCGTTAACTTCAAATTTACAATAACAAAGAATTTTTTTATTTGTTAATATTAATAATATATTAATTTTTATTTTTTACAAAATAAATCCTAATAATAACAAATAAGTAATAAAAAAGAATTTTGTGAAATTTTGAAACAAAATGTAAATTATAATTTTTTTGAAAAAAGTTTTTGGAAAAATTTTAAAGAAAACAGTATTTTAATATTAATAATAGATCAATTTTTTTGCAAAAAAAGACAAATAATAACAAATAATAAACGAAAGAGAAACAAAAATAATTTTTTGAATAAAATTTACATTTTTATGGAAAGAGTTTTAAAATTTTATTTGAAAATTTAAAAAATCAGAATAATTTTTATTTTTTTGGTTTAATTGAATTTTTAATAAAAAAAATTTTTGTCCTTCAATAAATAGTTTTACAATTTCTATTAATTTATTCAAATTTCATTGACTCGATTAAGAATTGAAAAATATTTAAATGATAAAATTTTGATTATCAAGAGAAAAAACATTTACAAATTTTATTTATTTGACAAAACATTAAAAATTTTATAATATTTTCAAATTGTTTAGCAGTAATTATGAAATTTCAATTTACTTAGAAAAGCTGTAAAAAATTAGATCTTTTTTTAACAAAATATTTAAATAAATTTTTAATTATAATATGAACAAAATATTTTTTTATTTAGAAAAATCTATAATAAATAAATAAATGGATTTCATTCGAAATCCAGGAAATGGAAAACAAAATTTTTATCAATATTTGTAATTTAGAATATTATAATCAAAATTGTTTAAATATTTATTTTTAATATATTATCCTAAACATTAAAATTTATTTTTTAAGTTCCTTTTTAAATTCTTAAAAAATGTTTTGAATGAAAAATATTTATCAACCGTTGATAAGGAAAACATTCATTAAAATACAAATAGCAATTTTTTTTTTTGAAAGAAATTAAATTTATATTTTATTTTTTTATTTTTTATCCATTAAAATAATGATATTAGCAACAAATACAAATAACAATAATTATAAAAACTAATTTCGAAAATTAAAATTTTTTAACTATTTAAAACACATAAAATAAATTTGTTTTAAATTCATTATAACTTTATCACATTTGGAATATTTAATTACTTAACGAATCAATTTTTTTATTTTCAAAACGAAAATTTTTTATTATTTATTACAAAAATTGTTAATATTGATTTTATCGATGGTAGAACAGCAAAGCAATGTCGTCAGGTTCTGTCATCTGGCGTGAAATTTTCGAAGATACTAAATTCACATTTACCTACAAGCGCAAATAATGTTTTTAATTTATCAGTAGTTTCAAAGAGGCATTTTAATTACATGCCTGCTTTGGCCTTGCCTGTATTGTCTAGAGATAACGAAATCTATTTTAACATAAACGTTTATAATTGAAAGCATCAAAAAATTAGACCTCAAATTCCTAACTATATATCTGTTAATTTTTAAACAATAATAATAATAATAATAATAATAATAATAATAGTTGTAATAATTATTATTAAAAAATAAAAAATTTAAATTAATACAAATTATTATTATTATTATTATTAGATAATAATAGTAATAATAATTATTATTATCATTACTATTAGATGATAATAATAATAATAATAATAATAATAATAATAATAATAATAATTTTTAGTATTATTATTATCTTTTAACGAATTAATTATTTATATTTATAAAACATATTCCACTAATTTTAGAACAATGACAAACTTTAGACCTATTTAATAATAAATTTGCAATCAAAAGCCAAGGCTCAAGTTTGCCAATTTTTTTTATTATTTATTAATATTTATTTAAAGAATCGTTCAGGTTTTATTTCTACAGAAAATTACGCGATTATTTCTTTAAGATAATTATATAAACTATTTTATGTAATTAATTAATTAATTAATTATAATTATAATTATAATTATAAAATCAATAATTAAACTTTCATTTGATATTATATTTTAATTAGCATCGGGAATTTATTAATAATATTTTATGATTGTCGCAATTAGCAGAGGTCATTAATATTTATAATTAATATCGATACTGACTAATTAATGAATCTAATTAGGGTAATTTATATAGAATTATATATAAACATATATATTTATTATTAATTTATTTAATATTTAAATATATTATTTAAATTTATTAATCAATATTATTTAAGGGTAACAATTGTTCAAATTTGATAATATACAATTGATTATTCTGAATTTCAAAGAAATTTGACATTCTTTCCACGCAGAAAAATGCACCGAAAAAATATATTCATTTCAAAATAATTTTTTTTTTTACTGGTGAATAGATATATTAAATATATTCATAATACGTGCGTATTAAAACCCGCATTCTTTCTAATTTTTCCCTACAGAAAGTTTTACGATCTTTTTTAATACTTTATTTAAATGAGAAAAATAAGTTTTAACCGCAAAACTCGCAATTTTTTTTAATTTTATTCGAAAAAAAGTTATTTTTATCATTTTTATTTCTCTTCTTGCTCTTTGAAATTAATGTTGAAATATAATTTTTTAAACTTTTAAATTAAACGAAAGCAATTATTTTTAACAATTATTAATTATTTTGACGATTTTTCTAAATAGATAGTGAAATATATATTTAGACCATAAAATAGAGTTTTTGGCTTTTAAAAAGGAAATTGATTATCAATCCTATAAATATTATAAAAATGTGTGACTTACGAATATATGAATATGAATTATTATATATATACAAACAAATAATATTGAATAAATACATACTCAAATGAATTGCAATGATGTGCAATTTAAAAATGAATATGCCGATGCATGCGCGTGTGAGTAAAAGAAAGAAAAGAACGAATCGCACACTGAATACAAAATAACCAAAACTAAATAAAATTCCTGTGACCATGAAACGGAAGTTTCCTAACGTGTTCATCCGGTTTTTTTCCTCTTTTTCTCCGTGCTGGTCAAGTAATTTTTTTTGCAAAAAAAAAAAAAAAAAAAAAAAATGTTAGAAAAAACTATTTTCGAATCTTTTCAGTATTTATAAATTTATGTTTGTGGCATAAAAATATTTTTCAACATTAATATCAAAAAAATATTTTAAAAATCAATCTTAATAAATAAATAAATAAATAAATACCTAAGAAAATAAATGAAATACTCGTTCAAAGCCAAAAGGCTTGAGCTATGTATGATAAATAAACAAAAAAATAGATAAAATAGATAAAATAGATAAAATAGATAAAATAATAAATAAAATAAAATAAAATAAATAATAATAGTTATAATAATAATAAATAATAATAATAATAAAATTGTGCATATTTTTTTGAATTTTTATTTATTCAGGGCCATAAATATAAGCAATATACCAAAGAAGCCATTTGCTCAAAGAATTCTATTATTCAATTACTAAAATCCATATGAGTCATTTCCGCCGACTATATACATATAGATTTTGTCCACGTCAAAAAAGAAAAAAAAACCAAATTAGTTATGCCAATTTTATGGGTTCCTCGTGACAAAATAACCTACCTTTCAATACGCAGCAGAAAAAAGGGGCTCTTATTCATTGATGTTGGTGTTACGAAAGACTTGAAAAAATAATAACTCACGTTTTTTTTTATTTTCAAAACAAAATTTCATTGAAAAAAAACTTTTATAGTAGTTTTCTTATATCTTACATTAAATAAATATTTACTAGCAATTGATTAGTAGAAAAAGTATTAATTCTTTAACAATTTTTTAATTTTTATTATTCCTTTGCTGTACTAAATAAGTTTTTTTTTTATTTTTACTATCCCAGTCGGAAAAGTTTTAATAGAATTTTACAATTATTTTCAGAATGATT